CCAGGTCACTTCTCCATTTTTCTGCCTCAGTTATTCTGCTATTGATTCCTTCTAGTGTAGTTTTCCTTTCAGTTATTGTATTGTTCATCTCTGTTTGTTTGTTTTTTAATTCTTCTAGGTCTTTGTTAAACATTTCTTTCAACTTCTCGATCTTTGCCTCCATTCTTTTCTGAGGTCCTGGATCACCTTCACTATCATTATTCTGAATTCTTTTGCTGGAAGGTTGCCTATCTCAACTTCATTTAGTTGTTTTTCTGGGGATTTATCTTGTTCCTTCATCTGTACATAGCCCTCTGCCTTTTCATTTTGTCTATCTTTCTGTGAATGTGGTTTTTGTTCCAAAGGCTGCAGGATTGTAATTCTTCTTCCGTCCCCACTTCTCTTCATCTCATGCCTTGACATCTCCACTTCCATCATCCATCCATCCTCTCCACATACATTTACTGAGCACCTACTGCAGGACAAGTACTGTGCCTTCAAAGAGTTCACAATCCATCAGGGAAGACTCACCTATGACAAATAATTGTATTTCAGTGTGATGAAGCCCTAGTTCTGCTGTGTATCAACTGTTATGAACACATAGAGAAGAAAGGCATGAACAGTTTGAGTCAGGAAAGGTTTAACTTAGAAGGTAATATTTGATCTAGGTTTTGAAGAATGAAAAGAAGTTCAACAGCTAGAAAAGAGAAAGGTATTCCAGGCAAAGGAAATAGCACATTCTGAATTCCATTCTGGGACTTCTGTAGTTTCTACTTACAACATGGACCTCATAATTTTGATACTTATAGTGTAAAACATATCATTTATAACCTCATTGTATATCTTGGACTACAAACTTCTTGACACGTCAGTTCATATACTTCATTTGTATTCTCCTCAAACCTTAGCAAAGTGCTAAGCATTGGGCACATAGTAAAGACCACGAAGATGTTGACAGAGTAATCTGATAATCTGTCAACATTCATGTACTCAGTTTTTTTGTGTGTATGTGTTCCCATAGAACTTTATGGACATTAAAATTTGGATTTCATGTAATTTTCACAAGTAATGAAGTGTTATTTGTCTTATGATTTTTTAAAACATTATCTTTAGAGCAGTTTTAAGTTCACAGCAAAACTGAAGGCAAGGTATAGAGATTCTTTCATATATGAATTGCCCCTCCCCCACGACTGATATCCCCCACCAGAACGGTACATTTGTTACAAATGATGAACGTATACTGACACATCGTAAATTACCCGCAGTCTGCATTACAGTTTGCTCTTGGTGCTGTACACTGTATGAGTTTGGACAAATGTATCTATCATCATGGTATCAGACAGAGTATTTTCACTGCCCTAAAAATCCTCTGCATTCTGCCTGTTCAATTCCCCTTGCCCCAAAACACACACACACACACACACACACACACACACACACACACACAGTTTTTATGTGTAAGGGAAGGGAACTAATGTTTATTGACTATTGACTACATGCTAGGATGAGTGTCAAAAGCTTATACGTGTTCCTTCCTTTAGAGAGATTAATCAGGCAGTGGGCTGTTTTGGAGGATGAAGGTGTTAGGAAAAGGGAGAGTAACATAGATTTCAATGCAGCAATCCAGCAATGATTGAAGAGGATGCCTCTGTTGGGATTTGATCACTCACTAGGTACTAAGAGAGATGGAGAGAGAAGACACATTTTGCTCCTGAAGCCTCTCTTTTCACGAGCTCCCACCCGGTACACATCCCACTGGGTACTAATGATGTCTACACTTTATTGACTGCACTATGCTGGGATTTATCAGGAACTTCACTGTAAAAGGGGTAGTGTGTGACAGCAGAAAGAGCAGGAGCCTCAGAGTGCAGTGAAACATCCCCACCTTAGTTTTGCATGTTACTAGCTGTGTGACATTAGGCAAGTTTCTTAAAACTCTTGAAGCCTTAATTTCCTTGTCTGTCAAATGGATACAATAATAAGTACACCATAGGTTTATATGACATTAGTTGCAAAATACCTAGCACCCAGAAATGCTTCCTCTCCTATCTTCCTATGTACAACCTATTGGACCTGAAGAATTTGAAAGTACCAGACATGATGAATAAAGAAAAAGTACTTTTCTTTGGCAACATCCTGTATACAGAAATTTTGTTTCCTCCAATATCAACAGTTGCTGATGTCATAGTGTTAGTTGTTCAACATATTCTTGGAAGATTAACTTTGTTATCGATGCTTCAATTTGCAAATTAAAAACAAAATTCAGATAGAGAAATTGTCACACAATTCCTAAAGTTCAGGACTCTCTTGTTTCTATTCTTTCACATAAGTCACTAGACTACTTTTTCTTCAATGAGGCATTTTGTACAGATGGAAATAACTATTCTCTTTCTCAGTTTCAGCAAGAAGCACATTTATCATTTGTTCAACAAAGTCATATTCACTTTTTACAACTGAGAAATATTTAAGGGATTTCATTATATTTGGGGAAATTTTCAACAATCAGAGATTTAGCAGCTGTCAAAAACGACCTCTGCAATTAATCTTTTATGAGTGTGACTTGTAATCTCTACACTAAGGATAAAAATTACTAAATATAAGGAAAAATGATTCATAAACTATAATATTTCTTGGCAAAGAAAACTGCTTTATGCTTTTTAAGATGTTTGAAAATTTAAATGAAACTTACATGTTTGAAATTAGTGCCAGAAGCAACACAATTCAAGCACAATTCACTAGCTGCATCACATTCACTATGATTTAGTAAAAGATATTCAATAATTCTATGTTTCATAGAAATCTCACAAATACAAGTATTTCATTCACAAAATGCATGGTTTGGCAGGGTTCCAGGACAGGAATTTGCGGGAGGGAAGGTAAATTTATTGATTAAAATAAATCAAATGACTGACATTTCCTCCAGAAAACTGGCAAAATAATAATATTCAGAGAATGAAAGTCTTACAAGCAAAACTGGAAGAAAGGTCTGAGCTATTTACGTTTACTATGGGAATCCAATAATGTCATAAGAGTAAACAATCAGATATTTGAGAATTCTCAAGTTAACATTGAGAACATTTTAAACTACATATTTTTGGAGTAGGACTTTCCAGAAACCTTTGATGTGAAATCTGGTGGCTGTAAGTCTTTGGAGTACGCATAATTATATCCCCCCTCTATCCCTTGCACATTTATATGCACTAAACAATAAGTATTCTTTGATGGAACATATGTAGAAATAATCCAGAGAGTTCTGAAACAGGCCAACAATATTTCCTTCCTACCTCATGTCTCAGTTCTTCCCCTTCTGTGTTCTCTTTCCCCATTTTGGTTACACCTCCACCATCAACATTTGTTATGGACTGAATGTTCGTGTACCCTTAAAATTCATACGTTGAAATCCTAACCCCAGGGTGGCTGTATTTGGAAATGGGGCCTTTAAGGAATTAAGGTTAAAAGAGGCCATAAGGGTAGGGCCCTGATCCAATAGGATTAGTGTCCTCTTAAGAAGAAACAAACACCAGAGAGCCCTTCCTGCCCCCACCCACCCCATTCTCTCTCTCTCCTTCTCCCTCTCCTTACACAACTGCACAAAAAAGATTTTATGAGCGCACAGCAAGATGGATGCTGCCTACAAACCAAGAGAAGAGGCCTCAGAATGAAACCTACTTTGCTGACACCTTGATCTTGCGCATCCCAACCTCCAGAACTGTGAGAAATAAATTTTTGTTGCGGAAGCTACTTAGTCTGTGGCATTTTGTTATGGCAGCCCCTAAGATAGCAATCAAGAGGCACAATGTAACAGTCACAACAGCATTTTCCTACACATCCTCTCTTTAACTACTTTTTATGGATTGGATTCAGGGAAAAACTCTACTGATGGGCTGGACACATTTGGCCAGGAGAGTTTCATACAGATCCTCACACCACTCAGCCCTTCTTCTAATCGAGCATCAGAGAATGTGAGTGTGAGAAAGGACTTTAGTAACCCAAACTTGTCATTTCAGGTTTTGCTATGATTCTGGGGTCATAGAAAACTACTCCATACACCTGGCACATGTTCTGGAAAACAATGGGGGTGAGATAGTTGATAGTTAAGTATTACACTTAAACATCGGTTTATACTAAATTGTGATATGTTATTGAGTGCAATACAAAATTCACATTTTTAGAATGCTTCAAAGAAAGGCATTATTGATAAGGCTAATGACAATACCAACTGAAAATTACTGTGGGCAAGGTAATGCCTTAAGGGGTTTATGTGTATTTTGTTACATAATCGTTACAACACTAGAAAATAGGAATGTATTCTTCTTATTACAGAACGTTATTTCAGAAAATGGAAGCATTTCTAAAATAGCCCCACTCCCATCACGGTCACATTATGCTGTTTTATTTTCCTCATAGAGCTTTTTTTCCCCCCTGTTTTTTTTTCCCCTTGCTTATTTTCTATGCTTCCCTAAGCCCCTTCTCAGAGCCTAAGACAGTGGCTGCCACGGAAAAGGAACTCAATGAGCTTTTGGCCAAGGGCACATAGCTGGTCAGTGAAGCAGCTGCCACGATCACCAAACGGTAAGCGCCACTAGAGCAAAAGTAGGGATCATTTTGCTCTAAACATAGGCTGGCAGGGTGCCTGCTCAATAAATACGTACAGAAATTTTAAAAAGTAAGGAAGGGAGCGAGGGGAAAAGGGTGTATGAATGGAAACGTTCCCAGAAGGGTCTAGAGAGCTTCTGCGGTGACTTTCCGTCCTTGGGGAATGAACTCAGTTCAAGGTCTAAGCCAGCACTTTCCTCCCCACGGAGTACGGGAAGGAATGGAGAAAGAACAGTCTTTAAAAACGTCCAGAAGAAAGAAGAAAACGGCGAGAGAAAAGCTGGGAGAAAAGAGGTAGAAAGAAAGGAATCAACCCCTTCCGGCCTATTTAAAAGCATAGCTGAGCGCGGCCGGTTTCCATGGCGACCCCAGGCCAGAACGGCCTTAGCCTATTGGCTGAGATACCGCAGCCAATGAGAAGGCGCGATGTTGACGGGTCTTAAGATGGCTGCTGGACGACCGGCTACGGACCGGTGAGTAGAGCTGGTGGCTGGGCTGGCTCCCGGGCGGCCCGGACTCTGGTGTGACGGACCTGGGAAGGACGGGTGCGGGGAGCGAGGGAGCCAGTGTGGGTGGCCTCACAGCCTCTCCGCGGAGCCTTCAAACCCTTTGGCCGGGCCCGCGGGAGAGTCGGCGGAGCTGGCCTCCGCTTTGCTTGGACCCGGCGTCGCAGCGCCTTCTCCGTCCTGTTGGTGGGAGAGGGGTTCTTCGTCCCACCCCAGCCAGAGTGAGAGAGGATGAGGAGACAGACTTTCGATCCGGGAAACAGTCTCTGGTTTACAATTGCTGTACCCGGAAGAGAGCTGCAGTCAATGGGAGTGTCAGCAAGCTAGACGTCCTACATCAGAATCTGCAACGCTTAGTTCTGTGCTGGGAGGGGATTCTTCCCGCTCGGGGATCGGAGTGTGACCCTGCTGCCGGAGACCCTGCAGAGTTACGGGTTGTGCAGCCAAACAGGAAAAGATGTACCTTCCTAGAGCCACCCTATTGCTCTCTTGCACCCTGTAAGTATTCTCACAGCTGCATCCAATTTGAAATGAGCCTCGAAGTGTTATTGGTTACTTGTAAATCCTTCCGTGTAGGGTTTTGAGTCTGGGGAAGTGTTGGCTAAACAAAACACTCACTTTGATGAAAACATACGCATACATAAAATCCTACTAAATAGTTTATCTGGGTAATCAGACTGGTAACTTAAATCCGAAGTCAGGCCTGTGATTCAGTTGTACTTCCTCTACCTTTTTGAGAAAAGGGAGCGTATTTATTTCATAAACATGAATAGGACATTTACATTAATGTTGATGACAGCATGCTTAAAAGCATTTCAGTTAAGTAACTAACACCCACTCACAGAAACTGATTATTGTGTAAATCATTTAACACAATCTTGAGATTGGTGGGTGGTGGCTTGTGACTGTCATACAAGTAAGATTAAATTCAGATCAGGCAAGATTCAGATTTCTTTATTTCTAATTGAATATAAAATCTGGGAAATAAGACAGCTTCATTTGGTAAAAATGGAATTGAAATTCTGGAATATTAGAGGCAGGAGACATTTACCCAGTAAACTGCTCAGATTGAGTTTTGGTTATACACAGTTGCCTGGACTTCCAGAAAATGTGACATTATTACCCAGACCTCTGAATGTGACTTCAATGTATGCGATTTAGCCTAGCATTTTACATAGCTTTCTGACCTTAGAAAGTGAGAAGAAAATTCTTCTTAATCAAATGTTAACAGAATTACAGGCTGGAGACATTCTTCAGACCCATTCTCTAATCTGTGTCACCAAGAATATATTACTATTTAAAGTCTGTTCTCTATAGAGTTTTCAAGCTATAGAGTTCTATTTTCCTAAGATAAGTGGATTACAGTGCATTAGGTGAGTCTGTTACCTCATCTGTAAAAGGCGTTTAGATAATAATTCCTAGTGGAAGGGTCATTGGTGAGGATTAAGGGTAAAACGGTGCCTGTCACATTGTTTGTATGCCATGTATAGCGGTGACCTGCTTTGTTTTTAGTTTTGTTTCTGTTTCTTCTGGCACAATTGGGGTTTCTTTCCCTTTCTGCAGAGCATCATTTAGGTGTTCTCTCTGAAGTGCAGAGTCTTACTGAAAACTAGCAAGCTTGCCTGTGGTGGCAGGGTTAGGAGAGAACCCTTATCTTCTGGGGTGTTGAGGTTTAATTAGTATTGTTCTGACTGCGAGAGGATGGAATGTTACAGCAAAGAATGAGGTGATTCTGGAAATTTGGGCACGTATAATACTGAGATCCATAAAGAAACATTTTAGAGCAGCAGGACATCCCAGAGATCTGATCACACCCTTCATATTATGGCTTAAGAATGAAGACCCAGACAGATGCAGTGTCTTCCCCACAATTTTGTTGTTCAGGACCAGGAACCCATCTTCTGACTTTCAAAACAGTGTTTTTTCTGCTGCTCTACCACTGGTTCTCAATCCTTTCACAACCTAGAACCCCTTTTATTATAATTTGATATCTCCATGGATGCTATATTTTGAAAGATTGTGTCCACTAAACTATATTCATTAATTTTTGTTCTTGTTGTTGTTTTTTTTTTTTAATAAAAATCAGGTCTGTAGCTACCAATCAGAGTCTCTGCTGAATGAATGTGTGGTGAAGAATAATGTTTCATTGAATTTAAGTCTCCTGACCTAAAGGTGGATGATATTGTTTGAGGGATAATAAAATATATTGGGCTTTTTGAATATTGAAATTAGCTTAGAGACCTCCATTACTGTCTTCATAAAACTTTGGGAAAACCTAAGCTGAGCGCTGTGTCATGTTCTTCTAGGTGCATTGCCATCTGCCCAGGTGTGCTAAGTGTAGTGACTGTGTTTGGTTTCCACAGGCAAAAGAAAGCCCAGCCATTGAGACGAGGATGATACGTAAATATTTTTTGTTCATCATAAATCATGTCAGCCCTGGACTAAAGATGTATTCTGCATAGCATACACAGAATTTTTTTTGTAGAATAATTGTGGAATTGGAAAAATCTCTCCAATATGAAGTGGAGAGGCTGATACTCAAAACTGTAGAGAAAAAAATGGATTCTGAATGATTTACATCTTCTTTGGGGCTAAGTGATAAAACTAAACTATTTGACGTGCAGGCTAAAAACGTGAAAATTTATATACTGATACACGGACTGTTATATAGACCTGGCTATCATCTGCACCAAAAAACTTGTTTCTTGTTCTCTGGTATGCCACGTCTCTTGAGAATGGCTGAGTAATTTTCACATGTGAAGGGTAATTTGGAGTGATCTGCTTTAAAATGAAGGAATGCACTCTGAAAGGTATGAGGTGAGCAGCACTTCAAAGAACTTGAGAATCACAATCCAGAGGAACACAACAGAAGTAACAGGGGGCCTAGTTGGTACCATAGTACAATAGAAATGTATAAATAACATGTATGTGCTTTGAGTAGAAAGACAGTGTTTTGGAACGTAAGCCTAAAACAAGTCACAAAGCAGCCACTCCATATTGGCTGATTTGCAGCCAAGCTGCTGTTTAGGTGGGCAGTTTCACTTTGCAGGCCCCTCAGTGAATAATCCGTGTTCGTCCGTGGCCACCAAGTTGCCCTGGTATTTGTGTGTGTGTGTATGTGTTTCATGGTCAGAGGAGAAGGGCACATCACTTTACAGATATTTAGAAATTAAGTTCAGAAACACACCTTATTTGAACTTTGCCTTGTTTTATGGATTTGGACATAGAGTCCACTTTTTAAAATTTATTTTAATTTTTTTTCCCCTGTGGGCACACACAAGAAACTATCATACCTGTCAGTGGCATCCTGAGGACAGTTCTTAACGCCACATCAGCAAGAACTTATTAAAAATAGATGATTTTGAGAAAGTCCAAAAGTGATAAAAAATGATTGAGGGCTGATGAGGAAAGGCATGTCCTGTCCACGGCAACTGTCACTGCTTCCCAAGGTGAAACCCATTTGGGTGCCCAGAGCACAGACTCACCCTGTGGAGATACTGAAGCAGTGGCCCAGTGGAGGAACTCTGCCCATCTGAACAGTCACAGCTGAAGTCTGGGCTGAGTGGTACTTGGCTGCTGTTGGACAGAAGCTTGCCATTTGTATAGAATGTTGGTTCCATGAGGTTAGGCATTTTTGCCTGTTTTGTATACTGCTGTTCCTATGTCCTGAAGAGTACCTGGCACACAGTGGGCATGCAAAAGATGGTATGGACAGGGAGGAGAAACAGTGGCTTCAAACGTAGAACCCCAGTTGGTGCTAAGAAAGCTAACTCTGAAACTTGTTACTGTCCTTAAGTCCTGAAATGGGATAGTGAGCCTGAAGGTATATTATATGCCAGTGGCAAAGTCATGATGGAGCTTATTATCACTCCCCTCCCCCTGCTTCTCAGAACAGTAGAAATATTTTTATTAATAGCACAACACCTGTTTTTCAATATTGGCATGTTTTACACTATGTCCTTTGTGCTAACAGAATATCTCAACATAACCTCCATTCCAACTTTTAAAATCCTTAGGCCAGATTTAGGGATGGATCCAGGTTTTATAGGGCTTGGAGCTTATGTAATTTGAGGTCTCCTCTTTAAAAAAAGGAATACAGATTTAAAATATAGAAAATCAGGTATAGTGCTTTGGAAGGACCTGTGAAAAAGAAGAGCCTTGAAGCTTAGGTTCCATTTATCTTCCTGGTAATTTGCTTCTGTTTTTATTGCTCCATTCAGAAAAAGACATCAACATTTTTAATTGAAACTTCAGACTGTGGAAATCAAGGAAGTAAATGACGTGCATCAATTGCTAAGTGAATGTACCTTAAACATTAGAAACTTCAAAGCTACCTTATAGATGCTGCCACCCATGATAGAAATGATAAAAATGCAGTACATGGCCACAGAAGTAATAATAATGATGGCAAAAAGAGCTTAGCATTGATCAGGTCCCCAGAACCTCCTAAACACCGTGTTGAGTGTTTCAGTAGCTTATCTTGTTTCATCCTCAGAATAACCCTGTGTGCAATATAGTTATTCCTGTAAAACAGATGAGAAAACTGAGGGTCAGAGGTGTTAAAAATGATTTCCTCATACCACTAATATATGGTGGAGTCAGGATTACAGTTGGAGTAATTAGATGTTAGAACCCTTCCTCTTAAAAAAGCCAAGAGAATGTTTTGGTGAGGATGTTTCAGAGAGCCAGCAACTATGAGGCTGGACCCAGACTGTGAAAAGTGAGAGCTGCTTCTTTGGACTTGGGAGGAGGTCTTTAAAAGTTATCAGGCATCCATTATTCAGAGTAATGCAAAATCCCATGATACTTTGTCTCAGAGACAATGCTGGTGGTTTTCTTACTAGGTTAACGCAATAGGGGGCAGAAAGGTTAGCAAAAAAGATTTCCATCTTTCTATTTTATTCCTTTAAGTTGATAGTAAATCTTGAGCAGTACAGCCAACTTCTGTATTCTAGACCTCTTTTGAATGAACTGGTTTTGGCTCATTACATATGCTAAAATAGACTGTGTCATGGAGATTAATAGTGAAAATGTACTCAATTATAATTTTAGCAAATGATTACAACCTCAATTTTTAAAAATCATTTTTATTAGACTTAACAGTAGTTAATGGTTCTCTCTACCAATGGGCTGTATAACTAATGATAAGAATTACCCTGAACTTTAACTTGTTTCCCCAATACAGTATTATTTAAAAAAGCTGTATGTTTTTGTTAAATTGTTAGGATTGTACTGCATTTAGTATTACTTTAGCAAGCAATATAAAATGTAAAACTAGGACATCCTTTTTACCACCATACTTTTCTCAAACTACCTGCATAGCTTAAAATTTTTCCTTTGAGTAATACTTTTCCTACTCTGTAGGTAATAAGTCCCCTGAAGTTTCATACATTCAAATACAGGCGAAACACCCAATTTTATTTTCTTCTCTAACTGTTACAGCTTGAAATATAGTATTATAATTCTTAAGTTGCCTGCATTGTATATTGTTAGGCTCTTAACATTCTTGAGCAGTGAATGCTTTTACTGAATTTCCTCTTTTCTTTGGACAAGATTATCCATATATTAGAGAATCGAGGTTCTGTTGTCATTAAGTCATTCATCTGTAGGTGTGTCTTGTAACAAACTTGCTGAAAATACACCTTTTAAAAATGTATACACACAGGGCTTCCCTGGTGGTGCAGTGGTTGAGAGTCCGCCTGCCGATGCAGGGGACACGGGTTCGTGCCCCGGTCTTGGAAGATCCCACATGCCGTGGAGCGGCTGGGCCCGTGAGCCATGGCCGCTGAGCCTGTGCATCCGGAGCCTGTGCTCCGCAACGGGAGAGGCCACAACAGTGAGAGGCCCACATACCGGAAAAAAAAAAAAAAAAAGTTTATACAAGCAAAATATTTAAATTATCTTAATATGGAGGGTACATCCCACTTTATACCAATTAAGAAAAAAAGTTTAGATAGACTGTTCCCAAACCATTGGTATAATTATTAGGTTCCTGGGGTATCTTTTAATGGTTTTAAAATTCTTTCCATGTCTACTTTATATGTCTTAATTCATTTTTTTCCCTTTAGCAGAAAAAATGTGGAGTGGGCTGCTACCTCCTGGCCTAAATGAGAGTGATGTTGAGTTGAATTCAGATGATGAGGCCACAGTAGAGAGCTCTGAACTTAACTTAGAAGAAGATGGGACCATTACAAACACAGAGGTCTCAGATATCCCTACAGATGGACCAAAAACTGAAGCAGAGGCAAATGTAAATGCATATGAAGAGTGTCCCTCTGGAATTCCCTTAAATATGTGGAATGTAGGTTTTCTCTGATGTGTTCTTATTAAAGCCTGTACCTGTGTGTTTGTGCATGGTCCTGTGTGTGTCTCTGCTGTGGTCAGAATGTAATATGTTCTTGGGAGGTAAATAGGTAGGGAAGATTGACTCAGAATAATTTTATTACTTTGTGGGTTTGTGGCCAATTCACTGGCCACTCAGATACTTATGTTCATTTTTGTTTTGTTTTTCATAAAAAGAGGAAGAAAAAAACCAGTAGGATTAGCTACTTCGCCTAACATTATACACGAGGAGTTTCAGTCTTAATCTCTTTGTTGTCTATGAGCCATTGACTTCTACCCTCAGATTATCAGATTGACTTATTTGGAAATAAATGAAGATAAAAACTCAGGTTGTGAAAGTCTCAGACAATAGAGTATCTCAAGAAGAACTGAACTAGTTTCATTAACTTTGTATTTTTGTAAATGTTATAGTTTTTTTATTACTTAACATGTTATTTTTCAGATGTATGCTTTGATTCAAAGCATGTTTGCTTCTCTTTCTTTTTTTTTTACTTTTATGTAGAAATTTCAAGAACTGCATACAAAACATTCTGAACAGAAAACCTCAACTTCAAGATCCAGAAAGAAAAAAAGAAAACGCTCCAGAAAAGGTGTTTTAATTTAGGCTAATTGTCAATAGTGCTAATATTAAATTGTGACCAGTTGAGCTCAGCAGTTTTTTTGTTTTTGTTTTTGTTTTTGTTTTTGTTTTTTTGCGGTACGCGGGCCTCTCACTGCTGTGGCCTCTTCCGTTGCTGGAGCACAGGCTCCGGATGCACAGGTTCAGCGGCCATGGCTCACGGGCCCAGCCGCTCCGCTGCACGCGGGATCCTCCCAGACCGGGGCACGAACCCGTGTCCCCTGCATTGGCAGGCGGACTCTCAACCACTGCGCCACCAGGGGAGCCCTCAACAATTTTTAATAACCATAATTTTGAAATAACCGAATACTTGGTATTGACACTGTGAATTCTTTTTCAGGTAAATTGAAGAATGAAGAAGAATCTCGAAGGTAGGTGGAATTTAAAATGTCTGTCTGTCCGAGATAGTATTGTAGAACTTATACAAATAGTTGAACTCCTTAACCTCTGACACGTGAGAACTAGCAGATGTAATACAATTGTAGTAACCAGTTAAAAACAGTAAATGTAAAAGTGAGTACATTTTGTGTAAAACGTGTTATTGTCTCTCTTCTTACAGTGAACAGTCCTCAAGTGAAACCCAGTGGAAGGAGCTTACTCAGTATTTTGGAGTCAACGATAGATTTGACCCCCCTGTTAAAAGGAAAAAAATTGAAAAGGTAAGATCTTTTTTATTGCATCTTATATTAGCCAGTGGGAAATGTTTGTAATTAACCTTTGCCTAAGGTGTTTCTCCTCATTAATTCGTTCAGTGAAGAAGTTAACGTGTGCAAGATGCTGGATAAACAAGTAAATGTATAGTTACAAATCGTTAAAAAAGCTGTTAAGAAAGGAACGAACAGGGTATAGTCAAGAAATTAAAATGGAAGCCCCACTTTAGCTGAGTGGTCAGGGAAGGCCTTTCTCAGAGGGTGCCATCTCACTAAGACCGTAGGATGGGAAGGAACCATCTGTATAAGGAATGCTAGTGTAGAGGTGATAACCTGGGTAAAGATCCTAGGGGTGGAAGAGCCATGATAGAACATTTGAGTAGACGTAAGACGGTCAGCCTGGCTGGACGGGGTCAGTGAGGAGGAGGGTGGGTGGCCCAAGGTAAGATTGGAGAGGCAGGCAGGCAGGGACCAAACTCTGTAGGACCTTAGAGGACAAGGTAAGGAATTGGGTTTTAGTCACAGTGCAACTGAGAGCCATTCAAGGGTTTTAAGTTAAGGGAGTGATGTGATCTACGTTATGTTTGAAAAGATTGCATCTTATGTGGAAGATGGACCTTGGGGCAACAAAAGCAGATGAGAAGAGGACAGTTAAGAGACTCTTCTAGGCATGAGATGATGGCGGCTTGAACAAGAATGGTGCTGCTGAAGACAGAAAAGTGGATAGAGTTGAGGTACACTGTAGCAGTAGGATCAACAGTATTTGCCTCCTGATTGCTTATGAGGTGGTGGGGAGATTTAGGATTATGAGGGCAGGGAGAGAACCATTCAGGGTTTTACTTAAGCAATGGTGCGAATAGTCATGTGAATTACAAAGATGGGAAAGCTTTGGACGGGAGAAGATTTAGAGTGGGGCCTATCCAGACTTAATTCTGGGGCATATGGGTAATATCAGCAAGCAGGAATAGAGTAGACTGTTGGTAAAACGAGGCAGGAGCTTCGAGGAGAGTCTGAGCTTGAGATGCATGCTTGGGAGTTGTCAGTCTATAGATGGCGTTAATATTTAGTAGAGGCTTGAATGAATGAATAACTTACACATTCACTTAGGGGAATGTTGACAGACTCCAGGAGCTTGAAAATTGAGCTTTGGGCCATAGGGACAAAGGCACAGAGGCCTGCTGGTTGAAGCCCAAGGATATTGTATCCTGCATGTATAGACCGGATCATTGCTGTATACTACTGTGTATAGAGATGATTACCATTTTCTGGTTAATCAGTATTTCTTATGAAAAACCTCTGATTTTTAAACCCGTCATTGGGTGGAATTGCCTCCTTGAGGGCACATGCATTAAGAAACTGATACAACAGAGTTTTACAGGCGAGCCTTTTGATTCCAAGTTTGCCAAGAATTCCTGTCACCTAATCCCTAGAACACTGCAGAATTGGAACCAGGATCACCTGCTGCTGCAAATAATTAGAGCTATTGAGCAATCTCCTTTTTCCAAATGTTCAAGCAGGTGCAGAAATGCTAAATTTCTTACAAAGAAAGAGCACTGGTAGAAGTGAAACTAAAACCCAGGCTTTATTGCACCATTCTCAGTTCTCCAGCTTCACTGCCCAAGGGGCTGGTAAGCATTTTAAAGTGTGATTGCTGTGCTCTTGACTCCTGTGATTCTGGTGGGCTGGGAGGAGGGATCTTTCGAGGAGGATGCTCTTGACTGTACCAAACCTGTTGCAAAGCATGAGGGAGGAGGCTTATGCTGATGGCAGCGGTCCACGGGCCATCTCTGGCCCACCTGCTTTAGAGTCCCAACCTCTGACTGGATTGTTCTTTTGAGGGAAGAAATGGTTAAATGTTGGTTCTCATAGGAAATATTTTTTAAAGTTTTATTTGTGAATTAGGTGGTCTTTGATCTGCAACTGTTTATAGTATTTGTTCTGTTTTCTCATAACTGTATTGACTTTAGAATGTCTGAATTGTTTCTTAGTGAAGTTAAAGCTATGAAATTCAGATTTTAGCCTTTCTAAAAAGTAGAAATTTTGAAGGCATTTTTTTACAATCTGTCTGTATTAGAATATTTTTATTTCCCTAC